TGCAGCGCGGTAGGGGAAGAGACGGTAGTAGCGCACCAACTCGTCAAAGGTGACGTCCTGGGAGGACAGAACACGGCGCGAGGTGGGGAGGTAAAACTGCCACCCATGCGCGTCAGGGGGGAAGCCGAGGAAGACGAAGGGAACAGCACGGGGGGAGAGCTTGTCCGTAGACAAGTCGCGGACAAACGCTCGAGATCCCTAGACCCGAAACGCAGACGCATCGCCAACCTTCCCCGTCCACCGCAAGGTGGGGGAGGTCTCTGGCAAGGAGACCCGAGGCTGAAGGTTGAGCTGATGCGCCGCGTATTGAACCGCAAATGGCCACAGAAAATGGGGGGCATCAGCATGGATCATGGACGTACGAGCGACGTCCATGACCATGCCAATGCGGCGCTCAGCAATCCCATTTTGCTGTGGAGAGGCCGGAAGCGTGAAGGTCTGGCGGATGCCCTGTGCATGACAGAAGGCTCCCAGACGGGCAGACGAAAACTCATCGCCTCTGTCCGAGTGCAGACGTAGAACAGGAAAGTCCGAGCCGAAACTCTCTCTGAGCTGGAGACGAGGTGCGCAGATCCAGTCGATCAACACCTCAGTGACGTCACCCTTGCTGCGCAAGGGGAAGAGTGTGGTGTAACGCGAGTAGTCCTCAACCACCAACAGGAAGTAACGCTCGTGTCCCTGTCCACGGACGCGGGCGGGGCCCCACACGTCCGTGTGGAGAGTCTGCAGCGGAGCCTCTGTCGGAGGAAACTCGGAGGAGTGAGGAGCGGCGCGCTGTCGCCCCTCGATGCAGGGGACGCAGGTAGGGGCAGGCCCCGGAGGTAGGGGAGGGAGAGACTGGGGGAGACCAGAGACAAGGACACGGGAGGCCATGCCTTGGAGACGAGGCAGGGAGGGTTGACCAAGGCGGTGGTGCTAGAGGAGAGTCTGGTGGGACAGGAGACCACACGAGCAGGGAGCAGACTCAGGACCAGACCTGGACGGTGCAGCAAACACCTGACTCGACGCAGCTACCTGGGCAGACTCAGCAGCCGGAGGAGGCTTAGTAGTAAGGGTGTACAGGCTCGACCCTGGCCGACGAGTGAATGTGGCCAAGTGTCGGCCTGTCCAAGCACACGTGCAGTGGGTCACTCGCTGACTCGCAGGAGTGAACTGGTCAACCCCCCTATCCTGTAGGTCAGCTCCACTCACCAAGTTCATAGAGAACGAGGGGAGGTAGAGACCTAACAGGGTGCCAGAGGGGGCTGCCGGGCACGGTAGGACAGTGGAGAAGCTAGCAAGGACAGGACCCCCAGAGGGGTCCACCAGGGAGACTGCAACCGGCCGACTGAGCGGCGTAAGAGTGGTGCGGTCTCGAAAGAAGGAGCGGGACGCACCCGAGTCAAGGGTGAAGGTGTGTAAGGCCTGAGCCGACGTAGTACCTGTGAGAGCAGACTCACCAGCACCTGGGGCAGCAGACGCACTAGCACCTAGAGCAGCAGCCTCACCAGCACCTAGAGCAGTGGCCTTAATGCCCGCATCAGGCGGTACACACAGGTAACAGTCACCCTCAACACTATTAGTCACAGAATACATAGCAGCAAGGATAGCATCTTAGTCAAGATCAAAAATGGCAACCCCTGCCCTAGAAAGATCTCCCCAGCGAGGGATCTCTGACGCCTCAGGGAACTGGCGACGCCACGCGTCCGTCAGGCGACCGAAGCAGCGCTGGGTGGAGTACGGTCCCCCGCACTGCTCACCAGCTCGGTCGCCGGTACGGAGGACGTAAGTGCAGGGACCAGTACCCCCACCGCGCTGACGCGCAGCGTACCACTCACGAAGCTGCTGAGGGGACAGAGTCACACCGCTCCGCTGCTACTGGTGCGGACCACCACCTGAGCCACTCCTCTGCGCAGAGTCGCGACCCGCTCCACCACCGCCGCCGCCGCCGCCTCCGCTACCTCCTCCACCTCCGCCTCCTCCGCCACCTCCGCCGCCTCCGCTCCCTGCGCCACCACCGCCGCCTCCTCCGCCTCCACTGCTGCCGCCGCCGCCGCCACCCCCTTGCCGACGGGATGACGACGGGATAAGGAAGGTAAGTCTTGCCTTCCTCAGTTAGGGTTCGTTAACCTCTTTCAGCCTGGTCAACCCGTAAAAATGCTGCCGAGCCTCTTATGCCGTCCGAACCTCTTAGAATATTGAGGGCGTGGCGAACGCCTCCAATTTTCACCCATTTCGAAATGCTTAACCGCATATGGAAACGGGATCGCAGTTTCCTCCCCTGGCAAAAACCATCCCCCTGCGATGCCATCGCCATTCACCTATCCACGGTGAATGGCGATGGCATGGCTGTGGCATTGCACGGCAGAGGGGAACTGCGGAAGGTGGGGCTGGGGGTTCCATATGCGGTTGCGAATTTTCACGTTTTGGGAGTCGAAGGTGCTGTTCGCCAGCACAATTATATCCAAAAACCACGGGATAACGACGGGATCAGGAAGGTGGGTCTCGCCTTGCTGATCCCGTCCGTTAGAGTTCGTTAACCTCCGTCAGCTTGGTCAGCCCGTGAAAGAAGTGCCGAGCCTCACCTACTGTCCAAACTAACAAACAAAGTGGGCATCTGGCGAACACCCACTTTTCTCCACCAAATCTTACAGTTCGACGGCATCAGGAAGCGGGGAAGAAACTTCGTCCCCAGGCAAAATGCCATCCCCTAGCCATGCCATCGTCATGCCGCGTTTTTCAAAGCACAGCGGTGGCACAGCTGACGCATTGCTGTTCAGAGGGTAACCCTTGAACAAGCTTGCAGTTTAACAAAGGGGGGTTCGTATACCCCCCATTTTTCCCTCCCAAACACACCGTGGCGGGGGTTGTGTTTGAGCGGGGTGTGTTTTATTTGCGTTTTTTACCCACGTTGAGCAATTTTTGGTCAGCGGGCAGCACAAGGGCCAGGGATGAGCAAATTTCGCGCCATTGGGGGGAAGGTGGGGATGGACCTTCCCGATGCGGTTGAGAAATTTCGCCTTTCGGGCGCGCGTACTTTCTCGGGCGGCATTTCACCCAAACTTCGGAGGAGGGTTTCGCCCCCGTTTCCATATGCGGTCGCGATGCTGATGCCATCGTTTTCTGTTGAAGAAATGATTTGCTGGCGAACAGCACCGAAGTTTCGCAGACCACATTACGCCCAGACCTCTTGGGCGGGTTCCGCCCCCGTTTCCAGATGCGGTCACCATGCCGATGCCGTCAAAATGCCATCTATTTTCGAATGTGCTGGCGAACACCGCCAATGACGTTGCCATCCCACTGCAATCCTCCGTGACATGGTGGATTGCCATGGGATGGCATGGGACTCTTGTTTGCCAGGGGAGGAAATTACTTCGCCATTTCCGAACTGCATGATGCCATCCGAAATTTGTGATAAGTGAGGGTGTTCGCCAGGCACCAACGACTCCATTTGGTTCGAACGGCATCGGAGGCTCGGCAGCATTTTTATGGGCTGACCAGCCTGACGGAGCTTAACGAACCCTAACTGACGGGATCAGGAAGGCGAGAATGACCTTCCTGATCCCCTCGTGGTCCCGTCGTTTTTGCTTTCAAAGGTGCTGGCGAACACTGCCGTGTAGGACTGCTAGGACACAGAATTTTTCTTACAAAACACTAACTTTCAGCTGGTCCCAGAAGCCTTGCCACTCCGGGTCGGCTTCCAGACACAGGCTTAGAAAACTCGCCGTAACTACGTTCGCATGACACGTGTGTTGAGGAAGAATCTGAAGTGGCTCGAGCATCAGCCACTATACCGAGGAACCTGAGCCGCTTTCCCGGCCTGATTCGCGAATCCTGGTTCGCGAATTGTGCGGTATAACGTTTCCGTGCTGGCGTGCGAATGAGCAGTTCGCGTCAAACGATCAACTCCTAGTACTCAAAGTAAAATGCAGCAGCAGCCAGAGATTTTAACATATCTTATCGAGTCAGAGCTTTCACATATACCTCCAACACCGATAGCAACAGAGATTTCGCCAATGTCAAAAGCGCGCATGGTTATCCTGCATTGGAACTGATTGCATTAACGGCAAGAGATTTCCCCCTCTCGATAAGAAGCAGCTCCTTTGCGGAAATGGGAAGCGCATTTGGTGGTAAATTAACACCTGCGCGAATGCTATCCTTGGAACAGAGACCAGTATCACGGCCCCGGCTTTCACGGAAGCTCATTTCCCCCGATTTCCGCTGCTTTCTGAAACCTTCTTTCTCGCCTCGACGTTCCTTTCACCGTCATTCGCTTTCAGCTTCTGTTATACCACCGCAACGGCAATACCAATCTCGAGTGGGGTCGGGAGCAGCCAGGACTGCCCACTGCAGCTCGCATTCGCCATTCGCGGTACAAGCAGCCTCGTTTTCGGATCAGGCTGGACCATCCAACTCTGATGACGGCTCCGCTGTGCGCTTGACGAAGCTCGCTGATTGGCTGGCTGGTTTGGGGCATAATCCGTTGGGGATTCGCCTAGAGATTGCTGACGTGGATGCGTCGTCAGCAGTAGGATCTACAGTGCATAGGGTCGGAGCAGTGGCAGGACCCGATGGGGTGAAGCAAGGGGATGTGACAGTAGCGGTGCCACATGCTGCAATCATGAACGTCCAGGTAAATCAATAGGCATGCGGTTACATTAACAGGTGACATGACTATAACGAGAGGTGGTGGATATATGCACGCACACCCGGCGCTATTCCCTGTAATCGCCTGAGTCACTGCATTATCTGAACCTTGTGCTCTAATCCCTGAACCCGACTCCCATAACCCTTAAACCCTGAACCCTCGGCCCCTCGTCCTCCCCCTCTCCCCAATCCCCAGAACTCAAAACCCACATTTTCCACCTCAAATCCACACCACCCTCCCCCACAATTTCCAGACAACCCTCAGACAGCAAGGGAGTACCCTGCAATGGAGATCCCCAACTCCACAGCACCTCAAATAACCTTCCATCACCCCTTCCCACCCCTTTCCTACGCCACAAACCCCTCAGACAGCAATGGAGTGCCCTGTAATTGGTCCGCTGAGTCGTGCCGCTCAGCTGACAGGCTGGCAGACGCTGCTGCTGCACCTGCTGTGGGAGCGCGCCAAGGGGCAGGGAAGCTTCTGGGAAGCTTACATAGCCATGCTGCCAGATGAACAGGAGATGTCCCGTACACATCCCATCATGCTCCCTGATGTGAGTGAGGAGGGTCGGCACATGCGCATGCATGTGAGTATAGTGAGAGGAAAAGTCGCCCTTTCTTGGCGCCTCCGCATCCCCGCATGCCTCCCGATGTGACTGTAGAGGGGTGACTCTGGTGTGACCGTTGATCCCCTGTATGAGTATAGTGCGAGAAATAGTGACCCTTTGTTGGCGCGTACCCATCCCCACATGCTCCCTGATGTGACTGTAGAGGTGTGACTCTGGTGTGACTATGTTCCCTGTGTGAGTATAGCACTCTTAACTCGTCCTTTTCCTCCCCCGACCCCCAAGAGTCATTCCTTTTGAGCTGACTTAATAGATGACCCATTGGGGGGCCCTGCTCATTCCGTTTGAGCTGACTTAAAAGATGACCCATTGGGGGGCCCTGCTCATTCCGTTTGAGCTGACTTAAAAGATGACCCATTGGGGGGCCCTGCTCATTCCGTTTGAGCTGACTTAAAAGATGACCCATTGGGGGGCCCTGCTCATTCCGTTTGAGCTGATTTAATAGATGACCCATTGGGGGGCCCTGCTCATTCCGTTTGAGCTGACTCAAAAGATGACCCATTGGGGGGCCCTGCTCATTCCTTTTGAGCTGACTTAAAAGATGACCCAATGGGGGGCCCTGCTCATTCCTTTTGAGCTGACTTAAAAGATGACCCATTGGGGGGCCCTGCTCATTCCTTTTGAGCTGACTTAAAAGATGACCCATTGGGGGGCCCTGCTCATTCCGTTTGAGCTGACTTAAAAGATGACCCATTGGGGGGCCCTGCTCATTCCGTTTGAGCTGATTTAATAGATGACCCATTGGGGGGCCCTGCTCATTCCGTTTGAGCTGACTCAAAAGATGACCCATTGGGGGGCCCTGCTCATTCCTTTTGAGCTGACTTAAAAGATGACCCGTTCGGGGGCCCTGCTCATTCCGTTTGAGCTGACTTAACCCATTGGGGGGCCCTGCTCATTCCGTTTGAGCTGACTTAAGAAACACCCTGCTGCATTTTCATGCAATCCCCCATTGTCACTCTGCGTGACTGCGTCCCAACTCAAAGCCTTTCCCTCTGCGTGACTGCGTCTCCACTCCCAACTCCATACAATCACACTCTTGAGTCGACTCAAAGCCTTTCCCTCTGTGTGTGTGATAAGTCGAGTTTTGAGTCGACTCAAAACCCCCATTGTCACTCTACGTGACTGCGTCCCCACTCCCAACTCAATACAATCACACTCTTGAGTCAAGTCAAAGCCCTTCCCTCTCTGTATGCCCGTTCCTCCCTCCCTGCTCCTCGCCTTCCACACCAGGACTGGCTCCGCTATTGGTTGCAAGGCTCCCCGTTGCTCCAAACCATCCAATCACGCGGCGACATGTGCAGGTGCCTGTCCCCTTGCTCCTACAGTCACATCAACTGGCTTTCCTCGCTCGTCTATTCTCGGTTGTTTTACGAGCTCGGCCTTTTCTCTTTTTTTTTTGGGCCCAAAACACATCCTTGTCGTTTCACCCTACAACTTGTTGCGCGTCCTCTACCCATCCACCAGGGATGATGCTGCAGCGATTGGTCTTTGAGTCGACTCAAAAGTCACCTCATCCTTGTCATTTCACCCAGCCCACCAACTTGTTGCGCGTCCTCTACCCATCCACCAGGGATGATGCTGCAGCGATTGGTCTTTGAGTCAACTCAAAAGTCACCTCATCCTTGTCATTTCACCCAGCCCACCAACTTGTTGCGCGTCCTCTACCCATCCACCAGGGATGATGCTGCAGCGATTGGTCTTTGAGTCGACTCAAAAGTCACCTCATCCTTGTCATTTCACCCAGCCCACCAACTTGTTGCGTGTCCTCCACCCATCCACCAGGAATGATGCTGCAGCGTTGGTAGCGGCAGGAGCAAACAAATTACCTTTGCCATCACAGCAGCAGCTGCAGCAGCAGCAGCAACAACAACAACAACAACAACTGGGATCAGAGCAGTCGGTACGGTGGGCTGCCAGTGTGCTTCTCAGCAGAGCCTTCGCCCTCGACCTGTCACTGGACCCTGTCAAGGTGCCCTCCCACTCTCTTCCTTTCCCCCGCACTCTCCTCCGCTCCCACTCTCCTCCGCTCCCACTCTCCCCCACTCTCACTCTCACCCTCCGTCCTCGACCTGTCACGGGACCCTCTCTAAGTGTACGCCTGCTGTTTCCCCTCGCTCTCTCCTTTCCTCTCACTCTCACCCTTCGCCCTTGACCTCTCACTCTCACCCTTCGCCCTCGACCTGTCACTCGACCCTCTCAAGGTATGAGACGTCTCAAAGCCCTTGACCTCTCACTGGACTCTCTCAAGGTGTGCTGCTTGCTAAGGTGTGCGGTGCGCCTGATGTTTCCCCTCGCACTCTCCTCTCCTTTCCTCTCACTCTCACCCTTCGCCCTTGACCTGTCACTTGCCCCTCTCAAGGTGCGCCTTTTTTTTACTTGTCGCACTCCTGTCCCGTCCCCCAGCCATTCGCACGTGATGGCATCACCACACCACACCACACCACACCATACCATACCACACCACACCATACCAGGCCTCGCCCTCTGCCTTGTCCCCTCGGCGAATTGCCTTTCCACGCCTGCCTCCCCTAGCCCTGGCCTCCCCTATCCTCGTGCCTTCCTATCCTTGTGCCTCCCTATCCTCGTGCCTTCCCAATCCTCCTTTTCCCTGTCCTTCAGCCATTCCCAGGGGATGACATATTTTAACACCAGGCCTCACCCTCTGCCTCGTCCCCTGGGCCGACTGCCTCAACCACAGCAGCACAGAGTCACTGTTGAATCCTATCTTGCTTCTCTTACTCTCTCTTCCCTCTGTTCCTCCTTGTCCTTGTCCTTCAGCCATTCCCAGGGGATGACATCTCAACACCAGGCCTCACACTCTGCCTCGTCCCCTGGGCCGACTGCCTCAACCACACCAGCACCTGCAGCACCGCTCTCTCCCTTCTTCCATTTCTCTTCTCTCTTGCTTCTTTTCTCTTCTCCCTCTTGTCTCCCGTTCCCCAGCCATTCCCAGGAGATGACATCAGCACATCGAGCCTCACCCTCTGCCTCGTCCCCTGGGCCGACTGCCTCAACCACAGCAGCACCAGCAGCACTGCTCTCTCTCGTCTCCCATCTCTCACCTCCTCTTTCATCCGTTCCTCCCTTTCCCTTCTTCCTCTTGTCTCCTGTTCCCAAGCCATTCCCGGGTGGTAACATCTCAACACTAGGCTGCAACCACAGCAGCACCAGCAGCACTGCGCTCTGCCTTCTCCCATCTCTCTTCTCCCATCTCTCTTCTCCCATCTCTCTTCTCCCATCTCTCTTCTCCCATCTCTCTTCTCCCATCTCTCTTCTCCCATCTCTCTTCTCCCATCTCTCTTCTCCCATCTCTCTTCTCCCATCTCTCTTCTCCCATCTCTCTTCTCCCATCTCTCTTCTCCCATCTCTCTTCTCCCATCTCTCTTCTCCCATCTCTCTTCTCCCATCTCTCTTCTCCCATCTCTCTTCTCCCATCTCTCTTCTCCCATCTCTCTTCTCCCATCTCTCTTCTCCCATCTCTCTTCTCCCATCTCTCTTCTCCCATCTCTCTTCTCCCATCTCTCTTCTCCCATCTCTCTTCTCCTCTTCCTTCTTTCATTTTCTCCCCCTTGCCCCTTGTGCCCCAGCCATTAGTCGAGTTTTGAGTCGACTCAAAACTCGCCTCTTGCCCCTTGTGCCCCAGCCATTCCCAGGTGATGACATCAGCACACCAGGCCTCACCCTGTGACTCGTCCCCTGGGCTGACTGTCTCAACCACAGCAGCACAGCCACTGTCCTCTCCCATCAAGTCATCTCTTCCTCTCTCTCCCACCTGCTCTCCCTCTTGCCCTCTGTGCCCCACCCCCAGCCATTCCCAGGAGATGACATCAGCACGCCAGGCCTCACCCTCTGCCTCGTTCCCTGGGCAGACTGTCTCAACCACAGCAGCACAGCCACCGTCCTCTCCCATCAAGTCATCTCTTCCTCTCTCTCCCACCTGCTCTCCCTCTTGCCCTCTGTGCCCCACCCCCAGCCATTCCCAGGAGATGACATCAGCACGCCAGGCCTCACCCTCTGCCTCGTTCCCTGGGCAGACTGTCTCAACCACAGCAGCACTGCCACCGTCCTCTCCTGCCTAACCTACGACCCTGACTCCCGGACCGCCAGGCTCGGTGCGCACCGAGCCTACGCGCCAGGCTCGGAGGTGTTTGACTCGTACGGCCCGTGGCTGAGCCCCAGGCAGCTGTATCTGGACCATGGGTTTGTGGATGAAGTGGTGTTTGAGGGGATTCTGGCTTCTAACGAGACGACTCTTAACGAAGCATTCCTTAGGGAAGTGGCAGGAAGGGAGGAGCGAGAGGAAGGGGAGCAGGATGAAGGGGAGGAGGATGAGGAGTGGGAGGGGGATGAGATGGAGGAAGTGGGAGCGGAAGTGGAGCAGGGCAGCTGGATGGGGTTTACGGCCCACATTGACCACGTGATTGAGTTGCCTGTAAGAATCTCCAGGTGATATACCACTTTTTGAGGCACCCCCAAATATTGCCAGGCCAGGTAGGTGGACGGGGTTGACAGCCCACATCGACCACGTGATAGAGATGCCTGTAAGACCGCCGTATAGCTGTCCTGTTTTGTTTCTATTCTCAACGTAGTGCTTACCAATGGGGTACCTGTCCGAGCATGTATAGGGGTGAGGTGAACACATAGGGGTGAGGTGAACACATAGGGGTGAGGTGAACACATAGGGGTGAGGTGAACACATAGGGGTGAGGTGAACACATAGGGGTGAGGTGAACACATAGGGGTGAGGTGAACACATAGGGGTGAGGTGAACACATAGGTGTGAGGTGAACACATAGGGGTGAGGTGAACACATAGGGGTGAGGTGAACACATAGGGGTGAGGTGAACACATAGGGGTGAGGTGAACACATAGGGGTGAGCTTTGTTTGCAGTTTGGGCTTTGAGCTTAGGGGTTAGGGGTTAGCCTTCCTCAGGCACTGTGGCAAGATCTTCTGTCTGTCTGTGATAAAAGTGTAGTTTTGAGACGTCTCAAAACTACACTTTCCTCAAGCACTGTGGCAAGATCTTCTGTCTGTCTGTCCTCAGGCCCCCAATTTCCTTCATGCCTCTCGTTCCCCACCTCATGAGTCATGCCTGTCCCCTCAACCCCCCATCAGGCGAACACCTTGGGGAAAATTAACAGCACTCTCAACGCGTCCCTGCTGGAGGCAGCAGGTCTCCCAATTGGTGAGTGTGCCTCTGTCATCATGCCGCTATCACACAATTACATCACTCCCCACACGCATGCACCTTGGGACGGTATAGCCAGCACAGCACTCTCAACAACACTTCTCTGCTGGAGGCGGCAGGCCTTCCCATCGGTGACTGTGTGGGCCTGTGTTGCAGTGCCACTATAACACAACTGTTTCTTTCACGCATGCACCTTGGGACGGTTTAGCAGCACAGCACTCTCATCAACACTTCTCTGCTGGAGGCGGCAGGCCTTCCCATCGGTGACTGTGTGGGCCTGTGTTGCAGTGCCACTATAACACAACTGTTTCTTTCACGCATGCACCTTGGGACGGTTTAGCAGCACAGCACTCTCATCAACACTTCTCTGCTGGAGGCGGCAGGCCTTCCCATCGGTGACTGTGTGGGCCTGTGTTGCAGTGCCACTATAACACAACTGTTTCTTTCACGCATGCACCTTGGGACGGTTTAGCAGCACAGCACTCTCATCAACACTTCTCTGCTGGAGGCGGCAGGCCTTCCCATCGGTGACTGTGTGGGCCTGTGTTGCAGTGCCACTATAACACAACTGTTTCTTTCACGCATGCACCTTGGGACGGTTTAGCAGCACAGCACTCTCATCAACACTTCTCTGCTGGAGGCGGCAGGCCTTCCCATTGGTGAGTAAGCCTATGCACCTTGACCCCCCTCCCACCTCGTGTTGGTGGAAACAAGGCCTCCGTAGCTCACCTGTCCGCTGCTTTTGACAGGCCCCCCTCCCACCTGTCCGCTTTCGACAGGCCCCCCTCCCCCCTCCCACCTGTCCGCTTTCGACAGGCCCCCCTCCCTCCTCCCACCTGTCCGCTTTCGACAGGCCCCCCTCCCACCTGTCTGCTGCTTTTGACAGGCCCCCCTCCCACCATCGGGCCCCCCTCCCACCATCGGGCCCCCCTCCCACCATCGGGCCCCCCTCCCTCCATCGGGCCCCCCTCCCTCCATCGGGCCCCCCTCCCTCCATCGGGCCCCCCTCCCTCCATCGGGCCCCCCTCCCTCCATCGGGCCCCCCTCCCTCCATCGGGCCCCCCTCCCTGACTAGAGCATGCTGGCAGGGATGTTTTGAGAATGCTGGCTCTGGTTAAAATTCCTGCTTTGGATTTTCTGGCCCATCCCACCTCTCACTCACTACACACCTGGCTAAAAGCACTACAGCAAACAAGTGTGAGACAGTGAGGAGCTCCACCTGAAGTAGGAGCTCCGGTACGGTTGGTGGATCCTGACTTTTGAGAATTCTCAGAGAATTCTAAAAAAACACTCGCTGCAATATATTTCCCTCCCAAGAAGTGTGAGACAGTGAGGAGCTCCGGTACGGTAGGTGGATCCTGACTTTGGTGAGGAGCTCCGGTACGGTAGGTGGATCCTGACTTTGGTGAGGAGCTCCGGTACGGTAGGTGGATCCTGACTTTGGTGAGGAGCTCCGGTACGGTAGGTGGATCCTGACTTTGGTGAGGAGCTCCGGTACGGTAGGTGGATCCTGACTTTGGTGAGGAGCTCCGGTACGGTAGGTGGATCCTGACTTTGGTGAGGAGCTCCGGTACGGTAGGTGGATCCTGACTTTGGTGAGGAGCTCCGGTACGGTAGGTGGATCCTGACTTTGGTGAGGAGCTCCGGTACGGTAGGTGGATCCTGACTTTGGTGAGGAGCTCCGGTACGGTAGGTGGATCCTGACTTTGGTGAGGAGCTCCGGTACGGTAGGTGGATCCTGACTTTGGTGAGGAGCTCCGGTACGGTAGGTGGATCCTGACTTTGGTGAGGAGCTCCGGTACGGTAGGTGGATCCTGACTTTGGTGAGGAGCTCCGGTACGGTAGGTGGATCCTGACTTTGGTGAGGAGCTCCGGTACGGTAGGTGGATCCTGACTTTGGTGAGGAGCTCCGGTACGGTAGGTGGATCCTGACTTTGGTGAGGAGCTCCGGTACGGTAGGTGGATCCTGACTTTGGTGAGGAGCTCCGGTACGGTAGGTGGATCCTGACTTTGGTGAGGAGCTCCGGTACGGTAGGTGGATCCTGACTTTGGTGAGGAGCTCCGGTACGGTAGGTGGATCCTGACTTTGGTGAGGAGCTCCGGTACGGTAGGTGGATCCTGACTTTGGTGAGGAGCTCCGGTACGGTAGGTGGATCCTGACTTTGGTGAGGAGCTCCGGTACGGTAGGTGGATCCTGACTTTGGTGAGGAGCTCCGGTACGGTAGGTGGATCCTGACTTTGGTGAGGAGCTCCGGTACGGTAGGTGGATCCTGACTTTGGTGAGGAGCTCCGGTACGGTAGGTGGATCCTGACTTTGGTGAGGAGCTCCGGTACGGTAGGTGGATCCTGACTTTGGTGAGGAGCTCCGGTACGGTAGGTGGATCCTGACTTTGGTGAGGAGCTCCGGTACGGTAGGTGGATCCTGACTTTGGTGAGGAGCTCCGGTACGGTAGGTGGATCCTGACTTTGGTGAGGAGCTCCGGTACGGTAGGTGGATCCTGACTTTGGTGAGGAGCTCCGGTACGGTAGGTGGATCCTGACTTTGGTGAGGAGCTCCGGTACGGTAGGTGGATCCTGACTTTGGTGAGGAGCTCCGGTACGGTAGGTGGATCCTGACTTTGGTGAGGAGCTCCGGTACGGTAGGTGGATCCTGACTTTGGTGAGGAGCTCCGGTACGGTAGGTGGATCCTGACTTTGGTGAGGAGCTCCGGTACGGTAGGTGGATCCTGACTTTGGTGAGGAGCTCCGGTACGGTAGGTGGATCCTGACTTTGGTGAGGAGCTCCGGTACGGTAGGTGGATCCTGACTTTGGTGAGGAGCTCCGGTACGGTAGGTGGATCCTGACTTTGGTGAGGAGCTCCGGTACGGTAGGTGGATCCTGACTTTGGTGAGGAGCTCCGGTACGGTAGGTGGATCCTGACTTTGGTGAGGAGCTCCGGTACGGTAGGTGGATCCTGACTTTGGTGAGGAGCTCCGGTACGGTAGGTGGATCCTGACTTTGGTGAGGAGCTCCGGTACGGTAGGTGGATCCTGACTTTGGTGAGGAGCTCCGGTACGGTAGGTGGATCCTGACTTTGGTGAGGAGCTCCGGTACGGTAGGTGGATCCTGACTTTGGTGAGGAGCTCCGGTACGGTAGGTGGATCCTGACTTTGGTGAGGAGCTCCGGTACGGTAGGTGGATCCTGACTTTGGTGAGGAGCTCCGGTACGGTAGGTGGATCCTGACTTTGGTGAGGAGCTCCGGTACGGTAGGTGGATCCTGACTTTGGTGAGGAGCTCCGGTACGGTAGGTGGATCCTGACTTTGGTGAGGAGCTCCGGTACGGTAGGTGGATCCTGACTTTGGTGAGGAGCTCCGGTACGGTAGGTGGATCCTGACTTTGGTGAGGAGCTCCGGTACGGTAGGTGGATCCTGACTTTGGTGAGGAGCTCCGGTACGGTAGGTGGATCCTGACTTTGGTGAGGAGCTCCGGTACGGTAGGTGGATCCTGACTTTGGTGAGGAGCTCCGGTACGGTAGGTGGATCCTGACTTTGGTGAGGAGCTCCGGTACGGTAGGTGGATCCTGACTTTGGTGAGGAGCTCCGGTACGGTAGGTGGATCCTGACTTTGGTGAGGAGCTCCGGTACGGTAGGTGGATCCTGACTTTGGTGAGGAGCTCCGGTACGGTAGGTGGATCCTGACTTTGGTGAGGAGCTCCGGTACGGTAGGTGGATCCTGACTTTGGTGAGGAGCTCCGGTACGGTAGGTGGATCCTGACTTTGGTGAGGAGCTCCGGTACGGTAGGTGGATCCTGACTTTGGTGAGGAGCTCCGGTACGGTAGGTGGATCCTGACTTTGGTGAGGAGCTCCGGTACGGTAGGTGGATCCTGACTTTGGTGAGGAGCTCCGGTACGGTAGGTGGATCCTGACTTTGGTGAGGAGCTCCGGTACGGTAGGTGGATCCTGACTTCGGTGAGGAGCTCCGGTACGGTAGGTGGATCCTGACTTCGGTGAGGAGCTCCGGTACGGTAGGTGGATCCTGACTTTGGTGAGAAGTCCCACCCTCTCACTCACCTCACACCTGGCTAAAAGAAGCACTACAGCAGGCTGGCTTTGGCTAAAGCTTTGAGGGGCCCCTATGCTGGCTTATCCTCTCAAAACTCGACTCACTCACTTCACACCTGGCTAAAAGAAGCACTACAGCAGGCTGGCTTTGGCTAAAGTCGCCCCCCCCTCCTCCCGTCCCCACCCTCTCACCTCACACCTTGTCTCCCTTCCCCCTCAACAGACTCTTCTCACTTCTCCCACTCTCCTTCCAGCCCTCATTACCATAATGGCTTGGCTTTTGAGTCGACTCAAAAGTCAACTCACCTTGTCTCCCTTCCCCCTCAACACACTCTCTCCCTCCCACTTCTCCCACTCTCCTTCCGGCCCTCATGACCATAATGGCTTGGCCAAGGGCCTCCATTTTTGAAGCGCCTCTTGAGGCGATTTTTGAGGCGCCTCAAAAATGCCCTCATGACCATAATGGCTTGGCCAAGGGCCTCCCCTCCTTCCTCACACCTTCACCCCTCCCCTCTTCGCACCCTCTCCCCTCTTCACACCCTCTCACCTCTCCCGGTCCTTGCTCCCCTTTCTCCTCTTCCCCACTACAGACTCTTCCCGCTTCTCGCTCACTCCCGCCGGCCCTGATGACAGCATAGTGACGTGGCTAAGGGCCGCCCTGGCTTCTCCTGCTGAGCTGGCAGCGGCAGGCTGGCGCCACGTGGACGCCTCTGATTGGCTGAGCGGCGGCCGCAGCTGGCGGTTGGAACAGAGAGCAGCAGCAGTGATGGGGAGGATTGCCGGGGGAGGCGTGACTGGGGAAGAGACGGAGAGAGAGGTGAGTAGAGGCGGGCTGGGTTTGCATGGGGGACTTGAGGTGCTTTCTGAAAGTCCCACGGATCTGTGCTCATGAAGAAGGGCAGCAGTAGGCAAGGTCGCCTTTAAAAGCTTGGGGACTTGAGGTGCTTTCTGAAAGTCCCACGGATCTGTGCTCATGAAGAAGGGCAGCAGTAGGCAAGGTCGCCTTTAAAAGCTTGGGGACTTGAGGTGCTTTCTGAAAGTCCCACGGATCTGTGCTCATGAAGAAGGGCAGCAGTAGGCAAGGTCGCCTTTAAAAGCTTGGGGACTTGAGGTGCTTTCTGAAAGTCCCACGGATCTGTGCTCATGAAGAAGGGCAGCAGTAGGCAAGGTCGCCTTTAAAAGCTTGGGGACTTGAGGTGCTTTCTGAAAGTCCCACGGATCTGTGCTCATGAAGAAGGGCAGCAGTAGGCAAGGTCGCCTTTAAAAGCTTGGGGACTTGAGGTGCTTTCTGCGCTTTATGGGATTCACAGGCTGGGCTACACCCTTCTGACTCGTTTGAGTGCCTTACAGAAATGGAGTCGAGGTGACCTTTGAGCTGACAAGACAAGATAAGGTACACCGAGTTGACTTCTTGAGTCAACTCAAAAGCCAACCGGTACACCGAGTTGACTTCTTGAGTCAACTCAAAAGCCAACTGGTACACCCCGGAGACACAGGACCTCGAGGTGACTTGTGATTTGACTCAAAAGTCAGTGAATCGTGTGTAAGTGCCCCTCTTCTCAGTAAGCTGTGTTTCTTCACTTGCAAGGGTACCGAACAGCAAGAGAGGAAGTTGCCTACATTTGAGTCGACTCAAAAGTAACTGCAAGAGAGGATGTTGCCTGCTCCAACACTCACTCTTCCCCTCCTCTACCCTTCCTCTCTCCCCCAATGACTTTTGAGTCGACTCAAAAGTCACTCTTCTCCAACACTCACTCTTCCCCTCCTCTACCCTTCCTCTCCCCCCCAATGACTTTTGAGTCGACTCAAAAGTCACTCTTCTCCGACACTCACTCTTCCCCTCCTCTACCCTTCCTCTCCCCCCCAATGACTTTTGAGTCGACTCAAAAGTCACTCTTCTCCGACACTCACTCTTCCCCTCCTCTACCCTTCCTCTCCCCCCCAATGACTTTTGAGTCGACTCAAAAGTCACTCTTCTCCGACACTCACTCTTCCCCTCCTCTACCCTTCCTCTCCCCCCCAATGACTTTTGAGTCGACTCAAAAGTCACTCTTCTCCGACACTCACTCTTCCCCTCCTCTACCCTTCCTCTCCCCCCCAATGACTTTTGAGTCGACTCAAAAGTCACTCTTCTCCGACACTCACTCTTCCCCTCCTCTACCCTTCCTCTCCCCCCCAATCCCCCCGACCAGGTATATCACCGCCTCATCTCTGCCGCTTGATCACAGCTGCAAGGGTACCGAGCAACCATAGAGGAGGACATTACCCTGCTGTAACTCTACTTCTCTCACTCTCCCCCCTTCTCCTCCCCTTCCCAGGTATACCTCCGCCTCATTTCCGCTGGTCAATCGCAGCTGCAAGGGTACCGAACAACCATAGAAGAAGACATAGCCCTGCTGTTCAACGCACCGCGGTGTAAAGAGCCCGAGAGGTGGGCGGTGGCAGCAGTATTGAGTGAGAAGCTGGCTCTATTAGGTGCTGCCCAGGCAATGGATGGTTAATTCATCAACTCAAGAGCTTTGAGGTAGGGAGGACGCTGCCTTGCTGTTTCAGTGCACCCCAGAGCAAGGCGCCTGAGAGATGGCCGGTCGCAGCGGTTTTGAGTGAGAAGCTGGCTCTAGCTAGTGCTATCCAGGCGATGCAATGCAATGTGATTGATTGACGTATAAGGTGTGGAAATAAAAGAGGACGCTGTCTTGCTGTTCAGAGCACCCCACAGCAAGGCGCCTGCAAGATGGGTGGTGGCAGCCGTATTGAGTGAGAAACTGGCTCTGGCTGGTGCCGTTCAGGCAATGCAATGCGTTTGAGTTGACTCATAAGGTGTGGGAATAGAGGAGAACATTACTGTGGACGAGGACGTTCACCTCCTGTTCAGAGCACCCCAGAGCAAGGCGCCTGCAAGATGGGCGGTGGCAGCGGCATTAAGCGAGAAGCTGGCTCTGGCTGGTGCTATCCAGGCGCTGCAACGGCTTTAGGGGAGGACATTACCCTGCTGTTCAATGCCACACAGTGTGAAGAGCCCAAGAGGTGGGCAGTAGCAGCGGCATTGAGTAAGAAGCTGGCTCTGGCTGGTGACATTGAATCCAGGCACTGGACTGGACTGATTTCCATCGGGACAGGGGGCCATTGACCAACGGAGACGACTTTTGAGGCGCCTCGAAAAACACTGGCTGGTGACATGGAATCTAGGCACTGAACTGGACTGATTTGCATTGACACGAGGGGGCATTGACCAACTGCTTTGTGCATCCCAGAGATCTCACAGCAAGGCAACGGAGAGATGGGCAGCAGGAGCTGCGGTATTGAGTCAGAAGCTGGCTGTATCAGGTCAGGTGCTATTCAGGCAATGCAACGCATTGAGTTGAGTCGACTCGATGGGTTCGATAGTAAGGGGGGATGCTGCTGCCCTGCTGTTGCTCTGTGCACCCCAGAGAAGTGGAGCAATGCAAATCGTTCCCTACTCGTCTTGTCCTTCCACCATCATTACGATCCACCTGCAATGGATTATGGAATCGAGTAATTCTCAACACTGAGCCTCGGCTGCCCATTGCCCGAGCATTATTATGTTTTCAAGTCCGCTCTTCTCACTCGTTGAGGAAAGTGAGAGTGAGTGTATGTGAGTGTAGAGTGTACCACATATGCTGGTGTTATTGATAAAGTAGTCCAATTCATAGCAATTAAGCTTACAGGTGCAGGTTCAGGAGTAAAAAAAACAGAAAGTTTAAAAACATTTTATTTCACAACGAATGATATATAGTCATGGCTAGAGAATAAATGAGGAGATAATAAAATATTAAAATTATATTAATAATAATTGAATAGTATAGTCGATAACAATATCAAAAAAACGAAACTGAATAATTAATACTGCACCATGTTTCAGATATCCCCGCTCTTCTGCCCCCAATCGAACCCGCTACGACAATCACACCTGTTGCCGCGTACCCGCCTGGTTCTCTCCCTCTCCACGCGCCACGCGACGAGCTCCACCTCAGGATCGCCGAGCACCCAGCTCCAGTACAGCAGCGCGTGAAACACGTCCTTGCGCGCCAATGCCTTGGGCTTGCCGTTGCGCCCAACCTCCTGCGCGCCCCCCGTGCGCGTGTTGCCTGTCGCGTTCAGCACCCCGCGCTCATCCACCCGCGTCACCAGCCAATCCACGCCGCGCCTCCCAACCTCCAGCAGTCGCGATCTAATTTCCTCTGATTCGGATTCGTCCTGAACATGCGGCACGACGTAGAGATAGTACCGAGCCGCGTAAACCAGCCCTATGCCTTGATAGCTGCAGTCGTAGCCTTGTCTTTCGTAATTAAAGCCCGCTGGATCCTGCATCGCCAGACCGCTTCGAATGTATTTAACTGATTGTTCGATTAGGGTTTGGTTCTCCGTTAGTAGCCCAGCCATGCCGAGAGCTGTGCCTGTTAGGTACCGCCTGTGCGTGTGAATCGCGTCGTTTCTCCACCCGATGCGCTCGATATCTGGTCGGACAAACCACGCCGCCATCGACGCGACGTCGGAAGCGGCGTTGCGAATCCACCGTCTGTACTTCGGCTGGTTACCGAGTCGCGAGTGTCGCAGCAGCAGGGCGGCTCGGGCAGCTGACTCCAAGAAAAAACCCGCGCTGTGGTACACATCCGGGCAGCTGAAAGATCCGTTAGAATCCATCTGTTCGAATCCCCAATCGAAGATTTTCATTCCGAGGCGAATCCCGTTCGAATTGTTGAACGCCAAACCCGCTTGGATGAACAAAAACCCGTAATACTGTTCCTCGATATACCACGTTCCGGTACCCGTTACGTCGTAGTTCTGATTATGCCGCGAATACGCTCCGTTCTCGTTACAGTGTCCCTTGGAATCCTTATAACTCTTCACGTCCCTGTGGCCGTCCAGCGCGGTGCACATCGCAAACGCCGCGTCAAGCTCGACGTCTTGAGGACACGCCGCCGCTCTCGCCGTTCCGACGCGCCCGTTTCGAGTCGAAGCAATCTGCAAAGTATGCAGTTGTTCCGATTCAATCAGTGTGTCTTCATCGTTCTGATCCTCTTCGTACCGACCCCATGTTGCCGCCGTGCTGGTAGCCAAGAATGAGAGCCAACTCCCTCCAGCGGCGGAGCCCTCAACCAATCGTCTCCCCGCGAATCGCGCCGCAACTCGCGCCTCCTCGGAAGAACGAAGAGCCACCTGTGGATTGTTCCCCGTTGAAACCGCCGCAGCTGCGAGCATGATTCCATTAGATCGCGATGATGTCGATGATGAGTCACGTGCGGCTCGTACCGACGGGGTGGCGTGATCGTGACGCGGAACGCCGCCGCGTGGCGAGTAGAAATCCAGAGTTCCAGGGTGTAAGAAGACGAGGAGAAAGACTGCAGCAGCCATTCTAGGACTGCTCCAAGATTTGAGACGCCTTGAAAGACGATGATCGTGCTGTTGTGGACGAATCTCCGCCGGTCGCGGTTCCGACCCAATTTGAATCATTTCGCCGACTTACTTTGAACGGTTGGAAGGGTGTTGGAACGGTATCGGAATGGTATTGGAATGGTATTGGAATGGTATTGGAATGGTATTGGAATGGCGGAATGGTACTGCAATGCTAGCTCTAGAGATACAAACTCAATGCTTTCAGAGCGCAAGTAGGGGCATAAGAAGTCTTGGGTAATTAAGGTAAAGGAAAATGGCACGGGTGGCAAATAAATCACGCTGAGCGCGAATCTTCTTGTAGCATGGCGACATCGTACCTAGTCCTAGGCCCCGTTACCCTTGCTCGTGTTTTTCGCGGTCCACCAGATATTCTCATTTCGTCGCAAACTTCTCCAGAAATTGCACCGACCGTCTGTCTGGTCGATGCATCCAGCCATGACAGTTGAGGGCGGGTCAAACTTTGCACATGTACTGTAATTTTCCACATCAGTTACCAAAATTAAGAATGTAACAGAACTTTCAAGGTACGAAATCGGTTTGACACGAGACTGTACATAAAAGGGCCCATTTCGGAAAAGTGCCCCAAGACGTGCGGAACACATCCGAAGGTTCGCCTCCCAGCTCGCCTCCCGTCAAAGTCGTCAAAATGTAACGCCCGATTTTCGCCATAACCGTCTCGCTATGAAATTACTTTCTTCGCCCCGCATGCGAAAGTCCTCGCAGAATGCGATAACTCTCCTTCCCAGGTACTGTACCTCGCAACGTTAATGTACCTCGTCAAAAGTCCGAACTGTAGAATCCGAACTGGACAGGAAACGTTAGGAGTAACCCTGAAGTACAGTCAAATATGACCTGTGTGTTGACGTAAATTTTACGGAAAAAAAACGGGAGTGTGCAAAGCTGGATCCGCCCATATTCCCCTCGATATGACGGAGCGACAGCCACGGCTGTTTCGCAACCAGCCAATCACGAGGCGGTGCAGGCTCGGTCAGCTGAAGTCCATCCAGTTGAGCACCTTCAGGTCAGGGCTCAGGTGGCATTTCCCATAGATTTCAGGTGTTTCTGTGTTTACAGCATAGCTCTCGCAAGGAACGGGAGGAACGGCCGAGGGGGAAGCGTGAGCGATGGGAGCAGAGCCAGGGAGTGACGGAAGCGGGAGAAGTGGCGGAAGCAAAGGGAGGGAAAAATACGACCGTCATTAAAAGGGTCTCGATAAGACATATTATCTTCAAATAGATACGTTCCATTCTCTGACCATAAGTAAATTACAACAAGCACTCCTCACCGAACACAAAAAAGGAAGATGCAATAATATTTATTGTTATCTTTTACTGATACTTCTTTTTTTTTCGCGCTGAAAAATTGCAATTTTCATGAGAGGGGAGAATTCAGACCAATCTTTAAGTTATACATCTTCAATTGTGTGTTTGAATGAAAGTTAAAGAAAATAGTGTTTGTGCATCACCCAGTCTGGTTTTTTGTTTTTTTGTTTGTTTGTTTGTTTTTTTTTTTTTTTTTTTTTTTTTTTTTGGATGTAGATACATTGATGAAAACATAGGTACATCCGCAGTCGTAACTGGAGACATTGGTGGGCACACGTCGTGCTGACATGGAGCGAGATGCATCCCCCCTACGCCTTCTACGAGGGTTGATACAACGTCCTCGGGTTACGCCAGATAGATAGAAAAACATCCGACCACCTGGCTGGTCCTTCCGCTGGGCAAATCTTTTGTAAGGCCCTCCTCTCATCGTCTGCCACCTGGGCTTACGCGTCGTAGCCCCCCTTGCCAATCTTGTCCTTAGCCGCCTCCCTGGTTCTGGCTGTCAGCACCACCCATGCATGCGTCATGAAGCCCAGCACCGCGTTTCGCCCCACCTTTTTCCTTTGGAATGGGTCCGCCCGCCACGCCGCATTGCAACGGGCCAGCCATATTTGTCACAGAACCGTCGCAATGAGAGTCATCTCAGGGAAGCCTGACGTGGTGCCGCCCTTCTCAAACAGCAGGTATTCGAGAGAGTTCGCTCTTCTGCCCGGGTTCATCAGCTCCAGGGATCGCACCAGCGCACCGATGACCGGTTGTATAACCACACAGCTGAATAGGCAGTGGTCGAGGGTTTCGTACCCTCCACAGTGCGGGCAGTCGATACTTTTCCACATGAAATCCAGCCTTCCCCCCACCTACAGGTTCATGCTGTGGGCTCTGAGCAGGACATCTCTCGCCTTCAGCGGAACCACCACCGAGTCCCTCCTCTCTATCGTTGCCTTCCAGTCGATCTTCCTTCCCCATACAGCTTCCCATTCACCTTGTCTTGTTGATGTCCCTGCTTTTTCGTCATCACCCACCGGACTTGCCGCAAAGGGACCAGCCCGTCCTTGTCTAAGAGTTTGCTTTTTTTTTAGCAGCTTTGTCCTCGGTACCCCCACCGGCCCTATCAGCTTCATATCCTATACCGCCACTAGCTGCACCCCGCATACTTCGAAACACGCCTTTGCGGGGCTCCTCGGGGCCTCCAGACTCCCACCCTCTTTGAGCCGTAGGTAAAAGGCCGTGACCTT